ACCTATTGATAAGTAACCTCGTTGGACTATTTTCTCTATTTCTTGATAGGATTTCTCTCCATTCTATCGGAAGAGCTTCCCATACTTGCCTTAACTCATTTGAACACTTATTTAGTAAACTATTTCTCCTAAACGTATTCATTGTATTATTTTGTATTTGCGGATAAATTCTTTTGGATAGGCTATCAAACGTTTTGTCAAGTATATCACCAATTGTTATTATTTTTGCTTGGACCCAACTTAATTTTGCAGTTAGTTCAGTTTTATTCCTATCTAAGATTAATGGATTGTGCCAAATAATTTCCTGCGATATTTCTGCATAGTTTTGTGGTTGATTCCATTCTAAGCTAATTTGTTTGAATGAATTAATAATACTGGTATAAAATTTTGGAATAGTTATATTAGTTTCCAATTTAAAATTCAAATGTAAACATTCTAAATTTCCTTTTGATAGCACTTCAAAATACTTATTCACATAAAATTTTGCTCTATTAGCCCACGGACTCATGGCCCCCTCAAGCAATTTTAAAATCCATTTTACTTGCAATGCCTTAATTTGATTCCTAACATTCATCATTTTTATACCACCTTCATTTTGTTCACTACAACTGATATTCCTACTGACCATTTGCGCTTTTTCATTCCAAATAAATTTCCAAATAATTACTTCCAATTTCTGAATATATTTTTCTGGCATAAATTCAAAACTGACCATGTACCATAATTTTGATAGTAGCAATGTTTTAGCTATAAGAACTCTTCCAACAATAGTTAGATTACGTCCTTTCCAAAGATTTATAATTTTTTGTATTTTTGCCAAAATGTTCAACCAGTTTTTATCTCTAGACTTATAGGTATTTCCAATATATACCCCTAATAATTTAATTTCCTCACGTTTTACAGTTATACCCTTATAGGTTTCATTCAACGGCCAACTTCGAGCAGTTCCACATATCAGTAGTGTACATTTGTTATTATTTATTTTAAGACCAGTCCCACGTTGGAATAATCCCATTAATTTTAACACTGAATCCACAGATGACAATGACTCAAGGGTTAGTGTTATGTCATCTGCAAATCCTTTATAAACTTCTCTTTCATTTATGCAGTTCTTAAATCCAATTATTTCTCTATCCTTTTTGATATTTGATGATATTAATTCTGAAATGAATAAATATAACAATGGAGAAAGGGGCAGCCCTGCCTCACACCTCTTTGCATCCAAATTTTTTCTGTCAAATATCCATTCACATTTATTTTTGAAGAAGCATTTTTATACAAAGTAGTTATCCAATTTATGAGGTTTTTTCCAAATCCAGATTTTTTTAATAATTTAAGTAGTATATTTCTGTCTGTCATATCATACGCTTTTTGTTGATCTATTGACAAAACAATTAATGGTAAATTTTCCTTATTTGCCCAAAATATGTCATCTCGAATGGAAATAAGATTTTCGTGAATTGATCTCCCTGGAACAAATGCAGTTTGATTGATGTCGATTATGTCTGGTAGTATACTTTTTATTCTGTTTGCAATTATTTTAGCTATCAATTTATAATCAAAATTAAGGAGAGTGATAGGCCGCCAATTTTTTATATCTTCCTTTTCTCCATTCTTATATATCAAGGTTATGACTCCTGTTATTGTATCTTGGGGCATTTCTTTCATTTTGTGGTAGCTTTTACATAACAGTAGTAAAATTGGTTTTAATTTGGTCCAAAATCTAGAATAAAATTCTTTCGTTAGACCATCTAAACCAGGAGCTTTATTTAATTTGAGTTCTGTCATGGCTTGTTCAATTTCATCATCCGTTATATCATTTTCCATATAATCTTTCTGTTCATTTGTTATTTGTTTATCATAATTATTAATCAACGTTTCCTGTATATTAATATCTATTCCAGTATCCTTGCTATATAACTTACTATAATAATTAACAATTTCACACTGTATTTCACTTAATTCATGGATAACATACCCATCATTTTTTCTTAGCGATTTGATCATTTTAGTTTTAGCTCTAATTTTTTCAAGATTAAAAAAATATTTAGATGATTTCTCTCCTTCCTCTGCCCATTTAATTCTAGACCGAATTATCGACCCCCTTGTTTTTTGTTTAATGTATTGTTTAATTTCTGCTTCTGTGTCCCGCAATTTGGTTTTAGTTTCTTCATCTTCAGCATATATTTCTATTTCTTGTAAACACTCCCTATATTGAATCATTAATAATTTCATTAATAAAATTATTAATAAATAAATCATTAATAAATAAATAAATAAATAAAAAAATAAATAAATAATTAATAAATCATTAATAAAAATTCCATACTGCCGGCACTTTGACAAACCAGCTAAAAAGGAAACTCAACTGCTCGGTAGTGACTCAAGTGGTAAGAATAAATATGGGCATACAGAATGAAACAAAGTTATGGACCTTTCCCCGACCTTTGACTCCCAAAAAATTCTTTCTATACTTTACCATTGCAAAATTTTCGGGGCTATTTTAGGAGTGCTTTTGCGAGTTGGTCCCTGTACAATGGGGCATGTGTTTCAAACCATCATTATGATTCATCGCATACAACAATCTGTTTTTTAAAAGTACCGGTAAAGAATTTTAGCCTAGTCTATCATACCTATTTATACACTGATTTTTTATTACTGCAATTAAATCAAAACTCCTAGGAAGACAGTGTAGTGATATTTCATATATTATGGTATATTAATTCAGTGCCTAAGTTCATGACCTTTCATACCATTATTATCTTGCTCTGGCCTGCCCCCAGTGTATAACATGTATAACGTTTTTCTGATTCGTGAAGTAAACACAGTACTCTGAAACAACGAGTTTTATTCTGATAATATTCTACACTCCGGTATAGAAATCAAGGGTAGAGATATTATTACAGACAGAGTGATCATTGAATTATCTGATGTATATTTAAGTTTCCGAAACACAACTGAAAACTAACGAATAGAGTTCAAAAATGCGAAAACGAGGTAATGTTTACGACCACGCTTGAAAATCTGTCTGAGTGAGAAAAGTGTCTGAGCGGATGCGAAAAGGGAACATTGTTACGTCACTTTTTGCAATTTGCTGATTGGCCAATGTCACGAAGTAAACAAGGAAGTCGATGCTCGGGGAAAGGTCCATTGAAGTAAACTTCAGGAGAAAACGGTTCCACGGTTGGGTGAACACGGACCATAAAACTGATAAAAATAGACTCTCGTTAGGGGGGATAAGTTAATGATGTGGGATTTAAACTACTCAATGGATTAAAGTGGTCGGGGTAGCGTGCCGGACGAATTTCCGCCATTCGTCCGACGCAACGTCCACCTCCTGCATGCATCGTACATCAAACGAGCGTCAGATTTTTACCATGTCCAAAACTTTCTCTCGTGATTCCGCACGCAGGTAGCGTAGCGACCGTCCACTTGATTTTGTTATAAACGAGTCCAGCAGTAAATTTTTTGGTACCGCGATGTTTTCGGCGGCTGACATTCTAATTAATGTTGGTGCATTTTTATTCACTATTAAATATTGATTCTCACGCAACGGTGGACATTGTAGTTTGGTTTTTATATTTTAGGCAGAATTGCGAGTTCACATCAGCGAAGATGTTGAAGACGGCTATTAAGGAGTGAATTCACAACACAAATAATTTTATTTTAATTTTATCTTCTGTGTAGGATTTATATCGCAGTTAGCAAATTACGGTCCCAATTTTAAGCGCACAATATTATCAATACTGACCCCGGGATGCGATATTTGTGAAGCTTAGTTAATTTAATTGTGCTTTTAATTTTATATCGTGTCCGTGTTAAAACTCTGCAAAATGGTAATCTCTTGAATACTCAGTGTTGAGTGTTATATATATTAAATAAACATATTGTGAATTCATCTCAAAACAAGTTTTACAAAAAATGTATGTCGGGAACAGGTAATAATATTTCGTCAAACATGTGCCAAACAAAGAATTTACATCGAAATTCATGAATATCGGTATTCTACCCAAAAATTTTGTGATAGTATATTATGAGAATATGGGCAAATAAAGATAATACACAATATTTAAAAAAGTGAGTTTCAAACAGTTTGAGAAACATTCCAACTCCGACTAAAAAACATTCCAACTCCGACTATAAAACATTTCAACTCTGACTAATCATGTATCGCAAAAAACAGCATACCGGCGATTCTACATAGAGGGAGAGGTTAATGAAAAAATAAATTATTTTAATCACGCCGCAATAAACGAAACTTTGGGTTCAGGCATCTGGAACTGTTGAACTATTATTACGATATGTAGCAGGACCGCTGCGTTGTCAGTAACTTGGCGAAAAGCGCTTGGAATGGTGGTGAAATGACATTTTTTTGAAGAATTGCTCAATTTTATTTCATTGCTTTTTTTCGAATAAGGGCATGATTTGGTTTGAGTTATAAATGTAGCATCACTAATCCCCCCTAAATTTTTTGCGAGATATAACATCATAATGTTACATTGACTTCTGTGTTACTATGTTTTGCTGTGCGAACCTTCTTCTATTAGGATAAATTTAATCATTATTCACCAGTAATTCAACCCAAATTCCCCCCCCCCCCCCCCACACACACACACACCCTGAATAAGGTTGGAATAGGGTTTGTGCTAGAGGTAAGATTGGGCCCAAAAATTCCAACCTGTGGGTATTAAACCTGACTAATTAACTGGATTTGCAGGCCCGAAGCAAACCTGAAATTTCATATTTTATTTAAGAATTTTTTGGATTGTCATTGCAAGCATTTAGTGCAGTATGTGTTTCATGCCAAGTATTCCATAGTTTTAGTATATATATTTTATAAACATATATTTATTTGAAAAAAAAAGTCAGCGATGGAGAAGTCGGACCCAACCCGAACGTGATGATTAACATTTCAGGCTCGACTCGAATTTCGGGTCGAGTTTCATATCTTAGAACTAGTTTGTACCCCAAAACCTTCCATATTACAAAACAGACAGCACTCTGGACGAAACTTTTATTGAAGAAATATCACACAAATAGAGAATAAAAATGTGAACATTTTGGTAAAAAATCTGAATTCAAGGCAAACTAAAATTCTAGCCTTTTGTAATTATAGATGGTACACATGCATTTTTTTATACAGCTTTCAAAGACACCAAGCTTTCAACTAAAATTGGAAAGAAGATAGAAGTGTTGCAAGCACCACTGATGTGAGAACATTTCTATTAATTCAAACCAAGCTAGAGTTGGTGTTGTAACTTCAAATATACTGGAATCAAAATTTAAACTTGTAAAGGTGTATTTTAGAGTTTTATAAGTCAGAAGTTCGAGCCAAATTAAACTCTTGTTTTCATTTTATAAAGCTGTCAAATTATTCAATTAAAAGTAATTACGATGGGTATTCCAAAATGTGCACCAAACAATATTAGCAAGATGGCGAAATTGTTCAAATAAAGTTTTATGAAATTCTGAAAACGGCAAGGGGGGACTGTTTGTTCATTGAGATTTTATGGTTCAAGCTAAACTCATAACGAAGCTTTACTAAGCAGTATTTTGCGCATACACTGAAATATTCAATCAGAACATGGCTTAAGCTTATTGCGACTGCCGCTGTTGGGAGGGGGGGGGGCACATCTTCTGCTGTCTTTGATACCACTCAAATCTACAGTTGTGCAAAATGACATACCATAATAATGTAACATATATATAAATCAAAGTAACAAAGTTTTATGAATTTCCATGATAGAACCTCTTGGACCATATGAATGAACTTTCCTTATCATTGTTCAAACTGCTTGTCTTTTGTCAACTAAAGCGGAATAAATATGTGTTTTGCAATAGATTTGAATCATATGTTTCTTCCAAAAGTTCATTTTACACAGATTGTCTAGAGAAGTTTCATGCTACACCTTATTACGTCCATGAACATTTTACTTATATCTACATGCCCATGTCAGTCAAAACATTACAGAATAAAAGTTGTTGAAGTGTGATACAAAACATCTGAGTTACTCGATGTTTCTGGACATTTGAAAAAATCCTTATTTTCCTCGTATCGCGAAAGAATTTGCAAGCACCATTGTTTTTGAGCCCATGGACATTTTGGTTGGAAAAATCAAAATTATTTGCTCATAAATTTGCAAGTGACAAAATTGTGGAGGTTTAGTTCAGCTTCTGTCATGCTATTGTGTGCATATTAGATATGATGGGGAAGCCCCCTCCTAAATTTGAGGTAAAATTTATCCTTGCTATTGTGACAAAAAATACATAACAATTGCTATAGTGACATAACAGTAACCTATTTACTACAGATAATGACATGATATTACAAAAAATCTCAATAACTATCACACTGATATTTTTCACAAATGTAGAGACCAAACGAATTGCAGACTAGTCACTAAATCAGGGGTTCCCAAACCAGGGGTCGCGACCCCAAATTGGGTCGGAGTGATAAGTAGGTGGGGTCGCTGAGGTATGGTCAAGGATGGATGGATGTGCAAAACATCTTAGATTTGACAAACTGTGTTAAATTCAGCAGTTTGTACCATGGCTTAATGTATAACAGGCCCATATGCATTGCTCTATGCTTATGCTATAGAAAATGTAGGTGCTTATTGTGACATCATATTTTGGTTTCAGCTTATTTTACTTAATACCACCACATGACCAAACTTAAAAGTCCAGTAAAAGAAGCTTTAAAGTTTCATGAAAAATATATATATTGACCTGGGGTCGCACTGGACACCTGAAAGTTGTCTTTGGGGTCGTCCTGAAAAAAGCTTAGAAACCCCTGCACTAAATATTACATAAGAAATTGTCAAAACAGTGAAGGCCTAAATTGTCCCCTAAAAATTGGTTGTTATATCTTGTGATACCAGGCTGATTTTTGTAATAGACGCAGAACTGATCAAAATAATAACTTTCTGAATGTTCAAAAACGAGAGGTCATATTCACCATAAGGCAAAAGGGAGCTCCGGAAGTATGTGTACCAAGATGGCGCCCAACCTGGTACACATACTTCGGGAGCACCTGCAAAAAGTTTGAAGTCTGGTAGTTTGTCTAAAACAAATGTCAGTAAAATATTACAAGTCACATTCAACAGCTCGTAAATCAAAAAAGCGCGAGTTGGACGGAATTTTTTCCAGGTCGATTGCGGGCGATAACATGATAAAGATTCAAAATAAGTAAATTTCATTTTGGTCCTTAGTCATCCCAAAAAATAAAAAAGTAGTGCAGATTAAACAAAGTGATATAGAGCCCTAAAATAAGTTCTTGCTCCCTCAAGTGATAAAAAGGATAAAAAACACAAATGTACATGATACAATAAAACTCTACGCTAAAAAGGCTAAAATCTAATACTGTCTTCTGCTACCATTGTTACATCATATTTATAGAGCATTGTGAGTCATAGATGTTTATGATGTAATAGTCAGTGCCCTCTGTGATGTCATAATCATTCATCAGTAAGCTTCACTGGTTCTTCTGTCGAAGTGCTCGGGCTGCGTGCACTCATGCGATTCGATGCTGCCACAACGTTGAAGACAGCCTGAAAAACAGATACATTTCCATAATTTAGGATAGGATTTATATATTTATCCTGGAGGAGAGGAAAGTAATAATAATGCTTAAATATATGGTGAACCATGGCCTCTCAACCGGTTACCAGTCCAGGTCGATACTTTTGCGAGCTCGGGACCTTGCTTTGAGCAAATTTGCGAGTCTTCTATCAGTACTCTTTCCACTTTTAGTTGAGGACTCGGGACCTGGCTTTAAGCAAACTTGCAACTCTTCTACCACCAAAATCCAAATGTAATAAATTTTACCTTCAACTTTCTTTTGGCGTTGAATGTTTTTAATCTTGTGACGGTTGTCTCCATATGCTCATAGTTTGCAGCCTCACCCATGACCCAAGGATGCTTCAAAGCCTGTCTTGCAGTCAAGCGCTCTGAAGGTTCCAAGACGATCAGTCTTCGAATCTGGTCAAAATTTGCATTGTTGTTATTTATAAGTAATTTAATTAATTTATATTATAAAATCTTCTTAATTTAAAAAAAGTAATTTAGTGATTTAGGCTATATGTAACTCATTCCCAGCTAAACATATATAATAAGTGGAGATAGGTGTGGCACATCATGCTAAGCGTTCACACCTCTGCTTACCCTGTTTGAGGTTGCAGGTTCGAATCCTGTTGGAAATAATTATGTACAAGAAGATTCATGTGACCAGTGGTCGTTATGGCTCCTTCACTATCAAGTTCATAGGTACTCTACAGGCTAAGTAATCGCATACTTAACATGGACTTGCTACTAGATAATAAATTTCCTTTGATAAACTTCTCTTTGAAAAATCTGTAATCAGAATTTCAATGGTTGTTCGCAACTATTCTCAGAGAACGGGGTCTCCGGACCCAACCAGTGGTTCATGAGATCAGAGAGTGCAGCAGCCCTCTCACACCTCTAACTGGCCCTGCATGGGATTCGGACTTGCGCACCCACACAGGATGATCAGAGGTGAGGTGGTGAATGTATTCTTTCTTCACGCTTAGCTACTTACCAGATCTTTTGCATTTCCAGAAATTTCGTCCCAATTTGGTGAATCAAATTCAAATTCTCCTTTCAATACCTTTCGAAACATAGCCTTGTCACCTCTCTCGTCGTAGAATGGTTCATAACCACAAAGCCTAGCATAAATTTAAAATATAAAAAGATGTGAATTGCTGCCTCACCTACACATACAGATGATGTTTGTGTTTTTATTGACTTTTTTTCTCATTTTACTGTTGAAATTTAATTTATTCTTTCCCAAATTTCTTATGAAGATCAGATAAAGCCTGTGGGAGACCGTAATTTAACTTCCAGGCTGCTGATCAAACAGGAGATCAGCCTAGCAAATGATTAATTGATCTTATCAACTATCCTAAATCCTACTTTAAAGCTACTTTTGTTTGCTCGCTTTGAAATTCCATTGAAAGAAAATTATAAATCACTTTTTACACGCCTTTTTTTCCCCCTGAAATACTCACAATATATAGGTGATGACACCAATGGCCCACATATCCACTGCACTTCCATATTTCTTCCCGAGCAAAACCTCTGGAGCGACATATCCTGGAGTTCCGCAGACTGTCTTCAATTGTAAACTGTTTTGATTGATTTTTGAAAGTCCAAAATCCGCAACCTGAAAATATACAGGGTTTATCGACATCTCTGGCTACATCGGTTTTAAACAAAACTATCCGACTCGAAGTTCATGGTGAAGCTTATGACCTCTCGTTTTGAGCTCTTTATATAGACATTGGAAAGGTTGGCAGAAGTTGTATTATTTTTACCAGTTTTGTATGTATAACGATAATCAGCCTGGTGGCACATTATACAGTGTGTCCATATAGTCCCTTTACAATTTAAATTTAGTTGTGAAGTCAGTTATAACTAGGTTTATTGTTTTTTAGTCAGTAATCGTTCAAGTATTTTTACCTCATTTAATACATCTGTGAGGGTCAAAACAATATACGGTATCGATAAATTCCATTTGCAATTTTAAAATATTTTGAGACCTCATAGACACCCTATATAAGAAAAAGCAAACCTCATACTGGCAAAACCTGGCCTATTTCAAGGTTTCAAGAGAACAAAAGGCAACATTTGACAACATTTTAAAAATATAGGGTGTCCATAAAGCCTCCTTAGAATTTTAATTTTGTTATGAAGTCAGTTCTCAATATACAGGGTGTCCATAAAGCCCCCTTACAATTTTATTTTGGTATGAAGTCATTTCTCAATATACCTTAATAACCAAGTTTGTTGTTTTTTAATCAGTAATTGTCCAATTAAGTATTTTTACCTTATTTAGTAATACACCTGTGAGAGACAAAACAATTTTTTCAAATTTTCATGGACAGCTATGCTGACTCTTTATGTGATAATAAGTAGCATAAAGTAACAATAATAATAAGGGTCATTATGACGTTATTTTCATCGTAAATTTATATCCATAAGAATTATAGTCGTACTTTCAGCAGACATGAGTTCACCAGATGGAACAGTTTGAAGGGTGGGCCGCAATGCTACTCTGCTATTGACTATTCCCATATCCAACTTAGGATGGTAACTGGACAATGGTCAAAAAATGATTGAACCGTCACATCCACTTTCCATAATCCTTTAGATAACTTAACTTACCATAAGTGCTGCATTGTCAGTTTCGTCCGAGTACAAAAGGTTTTCAGGCTTCAAGTCTCTGTGTACGATGTTGTTGTCATGGATATACTGGAAAATAGGAAAACAATGATTGGATTAATGAAATTTGATTTTAAAGCAAGGTCACAGTCACTCACTCAGAAGTAAAGGAGATACATCTCTGTCCAAAAATTGAAATATTTTACCAAACCAAATTTATTATCCCATGGACAAGGTGATGGTCTCAAACTTAAGACCTTTGACTTGAACATAGTAGTGTCCAAGGCACTAACATCCTCTGCCATCCCATAAAGTTTTCAATACAAACAACCTATCTTTCCTTGTTCCTCGCCAAGATACGTGGATTTCTGGAATCTCATGTTTAATTCACGCCTCCATCAATAATTCACGATATTTTGACAAAAAAATCGATGAAGGTCTTTATCGCATATTAGCAACCACGACAAATTATTGCAGACTTTGATCGTACTTACCACTTGATGGGAGTAAAGAACTATACTACATCAACCAAATATTATATAGTTACAGTCGCTCTTGGCATATTAGTAGTCGCTCGTAACTTTGTTCGAGACCCCTGTTCGATGTCTTATAGCGGCTTTTTTCTCCCGCTTATAGATTTGAAACATACTAATATGCTGAATTGAGATAGCTTAATCTCAGCAAATTGGATTCCTTTGTTATGTCATAATGTGTTATTATTGTGTAACAAAACAATTCCATTGAGATTAAATTTCAATTCAATATCTCTATTATTTCATCATAAACCATTCACATGGCGTGAAAGTCAATATATTGATTATTGTGTCATAATATTTAGAACAAGCACTTGGAAATTTTTGTCACGGTTCAGTAAACAAATAAAATCCTGTTTAAAGAAGTCATCTTAGAACGTATAAATAAGCCTGCCGTTTTTTCAAATTAAGAATTTGATATAAAATTGATTTTTGGTCTTGTCATCTTATTATGCTCTATAATTTCAAAGCTATCTTAGGGGGAAAGCAAAGTTTATAAGATAGATAAATTGTAATGAAGACTTACAACCGTGTTTGCAAGTTCAGGCACTCACCCAGATATGTAATAAATTGGCATCACCTAACCCAGTGGTTCTCAAACGGTCAGGCTCGCCCCACAAATGGGGCTTAGACAATTTTTGAAACGGGCATGAGGCTAATTAAAAATAAAAATATTTATTAAATTTCTGTGTCTTATTTTGGACATTTACATTTCTTTATTGTTTACAGATTCACCCACGAATTTTTTGAATAAAACATACCTTCACCTTACTAGCTATAGCCTATTGTTAAAAAGTTTAGGAACCACTGACCTAGACATTTCAAGTTTTAACTTTCAAAGAAAAAACATTGTGTTAAATAGCATTATGCTCTAGTCCACTAATAATCAAGCCATTTTATCTCTATCCTCTCCCCTGGGATAAATAGATAAAAAATTCAGATACAATCTTGGACTTTAAGCCCATCTTAAGAACATTGACATACATCAGGCATTATTTACTGATTAAACATCAAGTAATTTACATAAAAGACGGTCCCCACAAGGAGAGAATGCGGCTGTCACTTAACCTTACATACTGAATCCACCAGGCAAAGTGGCGAAAAGATTTTAACGCAAGGACAAGAGTAAAAATGTTTTTTATCCAAGTCAGTGCCTTTCTGAACATGAACTGTCAGATTTTATGCTTGAGGGGGAGAAATCTGAGTGTTGCCAAGGGCCACACTAAAAGGCTTGGATTGTGATTGAGAACAACTAGGTACTCTCGAAGTATGTGAACCGAGATGACGGACACCGGAACGTAGTATGTGTACCAGGTTAGGGTTAGGCCATAATTTTATTCCAATTTTCCTTATTTTAGTTCTATTACGAGTTCAGGGACTAGCCAAGTGACTCCTGTAGTATTTGTAGGCCTACCTAAAATTATGGCCAAACCCTAACCTGGTACACATACTACGTTCTGGTGTCCGCCATTTTGGTCCACATACTTTGGGAGTACCGACAATTATAATAGCTCTGTATGCATTACTTCCTGCCTGTGAAAAGCTTCGCTTAAATCAAAGCCTTGAATTCTTTTCTCAAAAATCCTTCCGCATAATTGAAATAATGCTTCCTAATTTCCACATTTCATGGTTCAATTATCCGAAACATTCAAGATAATTTATTTCCATCAATTATTTAAAATAGTAGGACCTCTTTCTAGTTCAACAATTTTACTATGAAAAGACCTTATGCAAGTTGGTATTTATATGATTTATGGAGGATTTAATTTTTTGAAATGTTTACTGGCACATCACTTTAAACATGGCTCTATACAAACAATGTTTAGAAATACAGTCAAACTTCTACTAACAAAAGCCCCCGAACAGTGTTCCCTCTGAAGTGTGCCCGTGTGTGCGCGCACACAGTTTTCAGAGGCTGCGCACACGCATAGATTTACTGCACACAGACGTATTTCGATGTAATGTAACAATGTTCTCGGTTGGCAGGTTGAGAAAGTTTGTTGTTGGCCCACTTATTACCCGGTTAGAACGCCAAAATTTCTTTATTGGTTTTTGCACAAATATTAGTCATTTCCAAAAAAGTGCGCACACACCAAAATTTCTGCGCACACATACTACAAAAAATTAGAGGGAACATTGCCCCGAATATGAAATTTCTAAGTTACAAAACGTTTTTTGTAGAAATATTGCTCCGAATAACAAAAGGAAAGGAAAGGAAGAAAATAGCTGACGCAACTTCTTGTCATCCCATTGGCCTGTTTGTTTCCTGCAGGTACGTACAATGCCTAGAACAAATTAGGGCATTCATAGGGTAAATGCGTTCCTACATACAAAATTTTTTGCTCACAACACAGCTTTCAGAGCAAATTAATCTTGTAAGTAGAGGTTTGACTACAAATTCTTGCGTTATACCAAATCACATGGAATTATTATCACATTTTTATAGCTTCCTTACATCACTATGTTTGGGGTTCTTTCCCAAATGCATTTAATTTCCAGGAACCAAGTCTGCTGAGGAAACGTTTTGACATTAAAAATTCATGAAAATGATGTTTTTTGCAGCAAAGATTAGCAGAGTGCGTTCGCACACTCACATTTATTATCTGATAAAATCAAGCTCAAATACATTCATGTTCAAGTCTGAAGATTGTTGTTTATTAAATATATTTTACTAATTATTAGGCTTTTTCGTGCTTTTTAGTATGAACAAGACTGTATAAACTGCCACCAATATATATAGGAAACTATTACTTTTTTAAAAGGACCTGCATTCCCTACCTAATTTAATTACATCCAAGGTAAGATGGGAATGGATGGACTCGGGGTTAAAACCCCTAATATCTAACCTCTGGTGCAAATAAAGCTATGTCCATGAACCACTAATTTGTTGGTATGAATAACTGAGCTCATATTAAGTGTAGTCTTGTGCTTCAGAAGAATAGTGTTCTGTGAATGTTTACGCCGAGCATTACTTTGGGTAAGAGTCTAAAAATGATCCATAATGAAAGCTTTGTGCCATTGATAAAACTCAGACTAGCGGTCACAAGGCCATACAAGCACCAATCATGTAACAAAGTATATAAAAGCACGTTAATTTACAAAATTTATTCAATAAAGTGTATTAAACTTTGAATTCTGATTCATGGGGAGTAATATTATACATCGCCCTACAATACAAATTTATTTTTTCAATTTTATATAAAAAGGGTTGTATTTGATCAAGGCAAGATTATAAAATGCGTTTGACATCTGATGCATAATATATGAGATACGGAACTAATTTTGGTCTTAATGCAGTGATGCGTGTCCAAATATATACATTTCGTCTGTCTGGGATGTCTTGCGGAAAATTTTATGTACGCTTTTGAAGTACTGGATTGGAAAATTTTATTTTAGCTCAGGCTTGGTAATGTGTAAAACAAGTGAGTTTTTATCACATTTAAATTCTCCTACTTTGAACGAGGTTCTGTATAGGCAGCCACTGAGCTGTATGTAGACTGCTACTGGGTTATAAGAAAAGAAAATTGTTTTGGAATATAAGTAATAGGCATGCTACGCTTGTCTGAAGAAGTCTTGACTTTGGTCTACGAAACGTTACAGAAATATATTTATGTTACTGTGCACCAAGACTATTGAACCACTTAGAATAGTTATCCTCACCCTTGCATTATACGCATACCGATCCGCCAGCACAAAAGCAGAAAGCAAGTGAAAGTAATTAGTCTCGCATAAGCACAACTAAGTAATACTAAGATATTATAAAATGATTTGCCTTTGCTCTCAATTCGACTACCCAATGTCTGGACACTAAGCTGAGCCCTCTTTTACAATGAGTCCTTGACCTTCAGATTCCCACAAGGTTATACAGTCTGACCTTGCTTGACCTTCAAAGGTCATATGCTTTAGATGTAAAGGAACATGGTTTGAAACCCCACATAGAAAGAAAATCAAATAGACTCAAAAATAATTCTCCATTTTAAGAGTAATTTATAACATTTTCACTTGACTGAATGATACGAATTGTATTCTTTGAATTTTGTGTCAAGGTCATACACAAACTCCAAATTCCAAAGGTCATTTAAACTCAGAAGATATGTCCCCGTTTGACCTTCAAAAGTCATTGAAAATATTTACCACCTCAGCAGTAAAAACCACAAAAATCTGGCACAACATAACATTATGAATAATTAATGAGCGTAAAATTCAGCCAAAAAGAAGAGTTTGAATCTAAAAGCTGATGAAATTCATTATTTAATTTGAAATGGGGTTTTGCACCATTCTTTTTTTTTTTGCATATTTCCTTCTGTATCCCTCTGGCTCTGTATAAGAGCCTTCTAATACAGGGTTTCCCTAACTGGGGTACGCGAACCTCTGGTGATCCGTGATGACTGCACAAGGTGTCCGTAACGATATGAAAAGAGTCTCAAATATACACAAATGGAGCTTAATCTTATTAAATTGCTTCAGCCTGCCAGTATTTAACGTTAGTATGTATTAATTGAGACTCAAAAGTTTTATTTCATCAAAGGAAACAACATACTTTATCGTTTGTTAGAC